GTCATGCAATGCCCGCAGAGGACAGAAGAGGCCATCGGATCCCCTGGGACTGGAGTTTCGGACAGTTGTTAGATGCCATGTGGGTGCTGGGATTCGAACCCGGGTCTTCTGCAAGAACAACCAGTGTTCTTAACCGCTGAGCCATCTCTCCAGCCCTGGAAACTCCTTTTTAAGTGGGCTGAGGTGGCTGGAAGCCTTTCATGCAAGGCCTCACTGTGACCCCCTGGACTCTGACCTTTCTGCTCTGGGATTCTCCTGTCCTGTGCCATCCGGATCCCTTTGGTCAGGCTTCATTCCCTGCCTGCTCCTTTCCTCTGTCGCAGGTGTGGGCTCTGTGTGGGAATGCTGTGCTTACCACTCCTCCTGGGAAGGCTGGGGCAGCACCCCTCACGGCCTGCCTTCTGGGAGGCCCCACCTCTTGACCTGAAAATCCTTTCTTTCATACGCTCCTGTTCTTTCTGTAGCCTGAAGGTCTCCGTGAGTGGCCTGAATTGAGCCCAAAGCTGCACTTTTTATTTCGTCTGGAGAGGTGGCTCTGTTAGCAGGGGAGTCCAGAGTGAGTCTTTCTGAGCAGGTTCATCCTCTCTCTCTGATGCAGCTGCTCAGCGCACCAGGCCTTGGGTATTAGTATGTATAACTGTCTCTGGTCTTCCTTCCCAGGAAGGCAGACTCACTGCTTGTGACAAGATCGGGTGTGCAGCCTCGGCCTCCTGGCTGCAGGTGGGCCTCTGTAGGTGTGTGGGGGGGACGTCTTTTGGCACCATCCTCCCCACAAGCTTTGCCTGCTTCCTGCCAGCCCGCAAAGGCAAGGCACTGAGGGAGGAACAAAGAGTAGTGATCTCCCTGTCCTCCCAAACCCTATTGCCTGCTTGTTGTGAGGTGCTGACTAAATATGCCCGGCAGTGAATGTTAAATGCCATCGGAGTTGAATGGGGTACATATCCCATATGAGTTCGGAGGCAAGACTGAGATTGCTTCCAACTGTGCTGGTCCAGGCTGACTTCACCAAGGGAGAAGTACGTGCCACTGTGGACTGAAGGGCAGCCTGCTTTCATGCTTGGGGAAGAAGGGGTAAAGATGAGAGACAGAGGAGGCCACACCCTCCTTAAGGACGCGATGAAGCGGTACATGCTTCTGTGTGTATGTGTGTGTGCATGTGTGTCAGCTCTGCATAGGCCAGAGAACAACCTTGGCTGTCGTCCCTTAGGTGTCACCTACCTTGTCTTTTGAGACAGGCTCTCTCAGTGACCTGGAGCGCATCAGGAAGGCTAGGCTGGCTGTCCAGCAAGCCTCAGGGATCTGCCTGTCTCCGCTCGGCACCAGACCCAACTTTTTACATGCGTTCCGGGGTTTGAACTCAGGTCCCCATAGTAGAAAGGCAAGCACTTTATCAACTGAGTCATCTCCCAGCTCCGGTGCACGCTTCTTAAACATACTGCTTTAAAGACTTGAGCCATGTCCTCTGCCTTTGCTATCCTGGAGAATTGGGAGTGTTACGTCCAGGGACTGGGGCAGGGTGTGGGGTTCTCTGGTGGCTGGTAGAGGCCTTGCTGGTGGGGAAGCACTGAAGCATCGAATCAGGCCAAGGACTGAGTGAGGGTCTCAGATAAATGTTCAGAGTTCAGCAGTGGGCAAGACAGGGCCCTGCTCTTCCTTAACTCATACATTTATTTCTACACAAATCATGGTGGGTAAAATTGGCAGACATTCAGAAGAGGCACATATCTCAGTTATTTTGGTCTGATCTATAAAGTGCTCCATGAGGAGGATGATTGAGAGCTGGCCTTAATAAACAGTCACTGGGTTCTGCCTGCCTGCGATGCAAAACAGATGTGTCTTTGTTCTTTTAAATTGACTTTGATGAATAAACTATATGTGACGTCAGGCCCGAGCTATTGGATGTCTGAGGCCTGCTCAGAAATATTTTAGAATATAAAAAAGTTTCCATGGTCGAAGCTGAAAGAACAAAGCAAATTCCAGTTGCGTTGCAGTGACTGTGAATCAGGTTCAGAAATTCCAAGAGGCCTCCATCCCAGCAGCCCCTCCTGGTATTTGGGAGCGCTGCTTCTCTCTACCACACAGAGGCACCCTCCCACTTCACAGCTGCAAGCTCCGCAGGGCTCTAGTTCTCAGCGGTCACTGCCAGGGCCTTGTGAGGGTCACCACTGGTAGTTTATTGTTGTAATTACTATTTGTACAAATGTGACTTAAAAGATGAAGGAGGATTCTATGGCAGTGATCTGGGTCCGGGACTGCGTGATGCTGCCATTCCCCCCAGCTTGCAGGGACCAGGCAGGGTTTTTAATCACTAGCTCCTTGGCTTTGCCGGTGCTCTTGGCAGACTGGCCCTCCAGTCAGCTCTGCTCCATGCATCAGGAAACCAGCTCACTCTGCAGGTGTTTCGGCCATAAACAAGCGTCAGCCAGGGGCTCCTCTTTCTTTTTACGGAAACCCTTTGGAATTTAACTTTCAGATACAAATACTTGGAGCAGTTGGCAGCCGAGACGCAGGAGAAGGAGCTGAGGAGCCGGAGCACCAGCCAGGGCAGAGCTGACCTGTCCCTGGACCTCAGCTTGTCAGCCACCGCTGCCTCGCCTGCCACACCAAGCCGGAGCCCTTCATCGGCAGACTCACAGGAAGCTCTCACAGTGCCGCCCCCCCCAGTAACGCTTCAGTACCCGCAAGGTGAGTGCAGGGAAGAAGTGGGAAACCTCACCCGTCATCACCAGACCGGCTTTCTTAGGGGTCCAGCATGCAAACTAACAGGAAGACAGCAGGACAGGTAAGTTTCAGGGTGTCTGTAAGCTGTGATGTCATAGAGCTACCAGAGATCTCCAGATCTAGAGGAAAGCAAAAATGATGGGTAAAAGTCATCCATGTGTGGTCATTGAAAAGTGAGAAGTTACAAAATAAGAATGACTTGGATGTGCCTAAGTACCAAGTTATGAGCTTTATACTTTATGATTTGTATGTATGTGGCTCTGCCCAGCAATGTGACCACTTGAATTTTCTTGGTCTAAGAACTACTGTCTCATTTTAAAATGATGGGGAATAGAATGAAAGCGAGCAGAGAAAATGTGGGCATAGTGACAATAGATGTTAAGTGCTAAGAAAAAAAACAGTGAAAAGTGCTGTAACATAGGATAGGTGAGTGTGTGTGTGTGTGTGTGAGAGAGAGAGAGAGAGAGAGGGAGAGCACATGCACAGGTGCATTTGAACAACCTTGTGTACAGGCAGGCAGGCAGGCAGGCAGGCTCTCCCTGGAGAAATTCTGCCTTAGCTTTACTTGGAAGAAACCAGCACTATTGTTCAGTGCAGCCTTGAGTGGCAGCTGTCTCCTGATTACTCTGTGCACTGTTCTGGGGGTTGTTTCCTTTCACATGAATACAGTGTGGCTCTTGGTCCCAGTTACTCACGCCACTAGCTCTGTTGGGTTTCACTGAGGGTTATGGCTTATAGCCTGATGTAGACTTAGCTGACTGAAGGCCACTGAGACACTAAACTTTTCACTCTAGAAAGGTTGACTAAATATGGCCTGAAGTTTAATTTAGGCAAGGCAGGACTCCATGACTTTAGAAGTCCTGGATATGATGGAATGACATTGTCTGTCCAAATTTTGCTGGCTCTCCTAGCTCTGGGGTTCATTCAGCGGGAAGGCTGGCTTCCCCCCAGCTTTGCATCACGTCTAGTTATTCCTCGTCCCCGAGCCATGGAGGATTGTCCCAGGCAGATGGCTCAGTCATAGATGAGTAATGTCGGTCTGAAATACTGAGACTCAGAGGATTGGGAAGACATTCTGTGACAGCTGTGTGCTTTCTAAACCCAGCCTTAGATCATTGTTTTATCTGCATTGTGGTTATTTCTAGGGCCAATAGAAAAAGTTTCCCTGGCAAAGTTGTGGATCAGCACTTAATCTTTTAACTCTGGCATGTACCTCTAGTTGTTTAGAGAGTGATGGTCGAAATTGATACACAGAACAGCCCCCAAGTGGAGAGGGAACTCGTGCTGCTTGCACTCAGATTTGTTTCTGTTCCAAAGAGAGAGAATTTTTAACACATTTTTCCAGAAATAGCTTGAAGCAGGTTACACAAAAATATATATACAATGAAGTTTAGGGGGCGGGTTGGAATAAGAAATCAAAGACCAAAAGATTTGCCAACATGGGGTCAACTTTGGTGAAATAATGATGGTTTCCATTAGCTCTGTTACTTTTTCAAAATCCTAATGAGTTTATTGGGCTTGCTAACAAAGCATAGGGTTATGGTTTATTTACAGAAGACTGGGCACCTCCCCCATTTATGACTGTGCTGGAAAGTCCACACTCAAATATAGATCCTGTGACTTCCCGACAGCCAAACAAAATGGAGAGAGGTGCCTCATGGCATCCTCACCTTATATATCCTTAGCTCCTCCCCCACATGCAGCTAAGGTGGACTGATTGGCGGGAGGGATAACTGACTCCATCAACTCCTTGAGGAGTGTGGGAAGGAGGTGTGACTATAGCTTTCTGGCATAGTGGTCAGAGGATACAGCTCTCAGATTTTTAATCCACTTGATGTTTGTGACAGAAGACAGTTCTTAAAGTAATGTGTCCAATTAGAGTTGAACTTGAGACCATACCATCTAATAAAAAAAATATTTCAAGCTCCCAGAAGAACATGGAAAGTACCTGTTTTGCATACATGCAAAAGTCCATATATGCTTGTTTTGATGCTTTCTGAAAGATAAATAGCAAATGTCATTTTCTTCTTCAGTGGAAGGATAAATCGAGACCAAGATAATGTCTGACTGAAACCACACTAGAGATGTGTGCATCCTTTCAGACGCAGGGCTTCAATTTGTACAACCAGGAACTTAAGATGCAACATCATGTAATGTTGTTTCTATCTCCCTAGAAAAAAATGGCTCTTTTCGGACATAGGAGAGCTGAGTGTCATATGTTGGTTAGCTGTAATCTGAATCATAGGAGCTGCAAAGCGTTCTGACTTCCCTGCCCTTAAATGCAAGTGGTTATTTGAATTGGGATGGGGAGACGGCTCAGTAAGTCGAGTGTAGACATGAGGACCTGAGCTTGCACCCAGAACCCATGTGACAGCTGGGTGCAGTGATGCACACATACCCTTTCAGCATTTGGGGTGCGGTCAAGACAGGAGAGTCTGTGGAGCCCCTGGTCAGTCAGCTCAGACAAATTGGGGAGCTCCATGTTCAGAGGGAGATCCTGTCCCAAAAACCAAAGTGGAAAAATGATAGAGGAAGACTACCCAGCACTGGCTTCTGGCTTCCACAGGCATGTTCACACACATGCGTGTGTACCAACACATACATATGCACAAACACTTGCACATATACACGTACAAATTGGAAATGAAAGTGTCTAAAAAGAACTTCCTAAGAGAAAGGTTTTCACAAAAATCGCTGAGACTGACTGCTGATTTGGGGGCTCTAGCCCTTTGGATAGAACTGTTGAGTCGGGGTGGTGAAGGCTAGGTGAAGCTTGCTCCAGAACATCCCATTACTCGTCTGTTCCTTCTACCAGATCCCATATTCAAATGTCCAAAGAAACGTTTTGCCTATCCCTAATGTTTACAGTATTCCAACATCTGGAGAAAGAATAAAACGTATAACCAGCATCCACATGTCATCTTGTTCCAAACACCTGGCACTGTGTGGTCCACATGTGCCAAGGTCTGACTCAGTTTTCACACTTGCTTCTTATGGGAGGGTATAACCATCGTGCACTCTGTGCCACTCCGCCCCTTCCTCTCCAGTGCTCTTGTCGAATATCTTGTCATGGGTTTGGGTAAGAGAGGAGAGAGCATCATTGTAGTTTCCGGAAGAGCAAATGGAAGGAAAGATTCATTCTGGCTCTTGCTGACACGGTGCTAGGAGCAGAATCCATGACTGTGCCTATCCCTGACAGTCTCAGCCACGTCAGGAGTCACGGGATTTGGGTTGTGCTTCTAATTTATGCCACACTGTCCCTTTACCTATTCTCCCCCCAGTGTCTGCACAAACCCAGCTTACATTTCAGGATTACATTGGTAAGAAAAAGGACTAATATTTATTTCTGAACTATATTTATCTCAAGATGATGGGCCGCTTTCTGGCTTCTTTGAGGCAGGGTCTCCTGCAGCTTAGACTGGGCCTCAGTCCCCCCATAGCTAAGGATAGCCTTGAATTCCTGATCTTTCTGCTTCTGAGCGTGTTTGGCATGTGCTGCCACACCAATTTAGTAATCTTTATTCAGATTCTGGATCACTTTGAAAAGCATAAGAGCCAGGCACAGTGACACATTCCTGTAATCCCAGCCCTGGGGAGGTAGAGGTAGGAGTATCAGGAGGTCAAGGCTATTCTCGGCAACATAGTAGACCCAAGGGCTACAAGAGGCCCTGTCTCAAAAAACTAAAAGAAATAAAAAGAAAAGAAAAAAAAATATATGAAAACATTAAAATTCCTTTTCTCCTCCATAAAATGCAGTTTTTAAGAAGGAAAGACCTAACAGTTAAACACTAAGAGCATTATGTGCCATCTAGTACGATCTTTAGCCCAAACCATTCTCAACTAAATGTGCTGTAACTTTGCGTAGAGGATGCCACTAACCCCCATCGTCAAGCCAACGTGTGAGGAATTACTTTTCCATCTGGCCCTCTCGAAGCTCACAGCAGATGTGTGTCCCCAAACTGCCTAGTCTTGGTGGTCATGGTCTGAATATTTTTCCTCTGTGTTAAACCAGCAGACCTGAGTGAGGAGACAACATCTGTATGTGTTCTTCGTGGCACTGTGCTGTAGTTCATGCAACCAGCATGGCAAGGCATCTCTCTTCATCCATTGCTTTGATAGGCTTTGTTTTATACTGAGCCCTGAAGGCTTGCATCAGAGTAGCTAATAAGTTTATTTCCTATTATTAGTCCAAGGAAGCTCACAGATGACTCTGGAATCAAATAAAGCTGTTCTCAGTAGTCAGGGGAAAAGTACAGTGTTCCTATTGGAGTGCATTTCATAAGTATGTTTTTGCCAGGTGTGGAGCTACTCGGGAGGCAGGGGCAGGTGGATCTTTGTGAGATCAAGCCCAGCCTGGTCTACATGAGGAGTTCCAGGCCAGCTGCGGTTACAGGGAGACTCTGTCTCAAAAAGACCAAAAAAAAAAAAGTTGTACAGAGGATTAAAATGAATAATATCTATGCCCATAAGTAAAGGCAATGTAACCAAGAGTGATGCTTAATCCAAATTGTTTTAATGGGATCTGGAGTCACCTAGGGCACGAACCTCTGGACATGTCTGTAGATTATCTAGATTAATTAGGTGGGAAGACCCACCTGCAGTGGGTGGCGTCATTCCATGGGCTGGGATCCTGGATGCCTTACCAAGTACTAGTATCCTCACTCTCTGCTTCCTGACTGTAGACACAGTGTGACCAGCTGCCTCAAGCTCGTTGCCAGGATCTCCCTACCGTGACAAACTCACTCTTGAAATGAACTAAAATGACCCTTCCTTCCTTCCTTACATTATTTTTGCGGGGTGTTTTGTTACAGCAAGGAGACAAGTAGCTAGCATACAAAGTGACCTGTTACTACCACATACATTGGATTCAGGGAATGTATCTCAAGGGAAACCACTCACCTGAAAGCCAGATGCTGTCGGTGGTCCCTGATGCATGTCATGGGTTGACTGCCCTTCTCTGGGGA